TATAACAGTTATACAAACAAGGGAATGCTATATCAGAAATATTTTTGTTTGAGGTGACAGATAAATTTCATCAACTAATTTATATACTTCTAGGTATTCAAAATAAATTTCTTCATATGTCTTTTAAATGCATCATATGGTAGCAATTTTGTGGATCGAGGAATACAATTCGTCGCCTGAATGCAGAACTATTGTATGTCCAAATTCTTCGTTTTTCAGATTTCAACACGACATTGTAGGTCATAGTCACCTACATTGCATGCAGATGTATTGTAAGTCCCTACGCCAGCGTTCCCCCACCACTGGTCTTGAATGATATTTTGGCGTAATAGCTTGAGGCGCGTCATTTCGCTGCAGAAATATGATAAGAGCAGATTATCACTTACAGAACTACAGTAAGTCCAATGTCAGCAACAAATATAACTCCACTTTCACGAACTTGTCATACTTTTTATCCGGTAAAACATTCTATATTCAATATTTCTCAGAAATGTTAGGCAAGACACAAATACGAAAAATAGCTCTCCTGTAAAATTTGCATTTTGTGACTTAGAATACTTCTGCATTTAAGCGACGAATTGTAAAAAATAATTGTATAGTTTAATGAAACATGAAACGAGGACCAGCACAATGGATCCGCTCCCTGTGAAGGAACTTATAGTTTCGTTCAAATTACACGTGTCCCCCCTCCCCCAAATTCATTCCAATCTCTAACCTGGTGTTTTATGGTTGACTCTGTTGGACGGTGCAGCGGCAGGTTGATGGTATGCAGGAATGCAGGTACGTCGGTCCTTGTCCCGCAAGCCCCTCGCCAACAAATTATCAGCAAGCTGTAGCGCGAAAACTACACATTTTAGCAACAAATTTGCAAATACGTTTTTTGATGGCCCAAGAAATAGAAAAATATCAGCCGTTTCAGCGAAAAAGATCGTTTTTGGGTTTTTTGCTGTTTTACAAAAAACGGGTGGTTTCCGGAAAACCAAATGCATACAACAATATTTGCAAGCCTTTATTACGCTATTACGCCAACGGAAATAAATTTATGGCTATGATATCACTTTTGCGGCACTTTCGGCTATTTAACTGGACGCAGTACGCAGAGAAGGCATAGTAGGGTTATGCTATAAGTACAGGGTAATTTTTAATTAAGCATGAGTGTATGCAATGTGTTACAATACGTAAAAGTAGGCTATAGACTCATGAATAAAACAATTATTAAAGCATAATATGTATACATAATTTAAAACAACTCCTATAACAAGCTAAGAGTTATTTATTATTAAAGCATAATATATCATATGCAAGATAAAGCATAATATGTATGCATAATTCAAAGCAAACCCCTAAAACAAGCTAATCGTTGTTTGATTATTAAAGCGTAATGTGTCGTATGAAATATCCAGCATAATATGTAGGCATAATAATAATAATAATAAGAATAATAATAATAATAATAATAGAATATAAAAACCCTAAAACGAGCTAATAGTTATTGTTGTCTTCCAATTTGCAGAAGCAACTCGACAACGACATGGATCTCACTCAAAGGGAAACAAAAGCATTCCAAATGCATGACGACTGGGAAGAATGGTAATGCAGACTGGATATCTACCTTCTGGACAATTCTATAACAGATGACCAAATGAAACAAGCAAAAGTCCTACACTATGGTGGAACCGAGCTCCAAGATTTGTTTTATATACTGCCTGGGGCTAATGTTGACAAAAGGCTTATTTGGCAAGAACTGAATTGCACTTTTCGGTGACATTTATACTAAAAATACTAGTAAAAAGTTTCTCTGGGAAAAAACCACTTGCAAGACATCAGTGGTCCGTTACGCTGTAAACTTGAACTGTTCAATGGAAGAAACGATCACGCATGTTCCCGAACTCCACTCGTAATCAATCAGCCCAGTATCGAACGAATCCAACGGACTAATCAATGAGTATTAATCCTGCCACTTCCAGAAGTTATGGAATGTCATGAATAAATGCAAATAAAAACATTGACGGGAACTTACCGACTTCATATTCCTGTCATCTGTCAAGCCAAAATTAATCATCAAAAATGATCCCGAAACGATTGTCGCGAGACGAGTTTAGTCAAATCAAGTCAAGCATTATCAACAACAAACCTAACTCCAAGAAACACGCACACATTGGGTGTCTACGTATTCTGTAAAACCATGTTGAAGAAGAGGAAGCTCAGAAATAGAGGTATTCAGCAACCAGAAGTCGAACTTCATCCTATTCAACTTTCGTGAAGAGTTCTTCCCCGAAGTTGAATCTCAGGGGAGGAGGAGTTACATCAGCCATTCCATGATACTAATTTCCTAGAAGACCTAGAGTTTACTTTATTGTTCTCAACACATTTTACAGTCAATCAGATTTATGCCTTTGTAGTGTTAACATCATAATAATGTTGTAATAATTTTGTAAAAGTACGTTTTTGATTTTTGTATTTCCGAAAAATAAACTTTTTAAAAAGCGATCGCGAGGCATCCATTTTATAACTCATGCGAGGTACTAGCAACGACTTCGTTCACACATGTTTCGACACGAATTACATGCTTCTCCCCACAAATGCAATTAACACGCATCTTCCAGTGACTTGCATGCTTTTATGCATGACTACTCCTAGCTAGTAGCGTCAGGGAGTCCATTTCTAAATGGAGTTTCGTGGTTCCACGGTGTCAAATTTCCAACGTGTCGAATTGTCTGTAAAAATCGTAAACCATGAGAGAAATCACAAAGTTCAGATAGAAACGAATATATTCCCTGAAAAGTCTGTGTATACAATGTATGAGAATCCCACGAAAAGAGAGGTCGATTACCTTATATGTTACATCCTAGGGCTACAAGAAGTCGAAACACTTGCATTCAGATATGCTATGTCTAATATTACACAATTTACTGGGGGAAGTGACGTTTTACGAAAGAAAGGGGGGGCGGATATGTCTATGTCATGATCTACGGCTAGGTAAGTACGCGCACTGATATGTGAAACGTTTACAAAGTGATCTTAAACTAGTGGATAATCTTACAGCGAACAAATCTGGTACTCTGTATTTTAGCTGTCCAAGAAACCTGAAGTCTTACATAAACCTTATAGTCTAGTCTGTCCTGTAATCTCTGGAATAACCTGTTGGAGATTCCTTGGTGGTGTTAACCAGTCCTCGTATAGTAAAATGTAGGAATGTAGCAGAAAGCCAGCAAAAGCAGTACAATGTTAACGTTTCAAGCGATGCTAGGTCCAATGTAACAGGTTATCTTCCGAGGTTGCAGAATGGAGTTCTGGTCAAATCATGGTGTCAGTTATGTAGGAAGAATGAAGAAGAAAAGTACAGGAAGTAGAAAAAGTTGAAGGAAAGAAGAAGGCAAAAGTCAAGCATAAGCTACATGCACTACAAAGCAATTAATCAGGCACTACATGAGTGCTTCAAGCATAAGCTAAAGGCAGCAATAAAACGGTAAGCTACCTACCGTAGGGTATAGGGAGCCTTTAAAGTGGAGGGAGATCTTCCAATCTTGGTGATCCCACAATACTAGTGGTACTATGATTTTCACCTTTGACAGTGACAGCTGACTTGACACCTGTCCACAAAATTTATTGCTAGAGAGCTTATAAAATTATAAACAATGAATAGTTTTGCTTCAGGGGCACTAATTTATAAAAGGGGACAAGTAAGTTGACTACAATAGTGTGAGTTAAGTATCTGCTACTTATTTAGTTTTGTTTCAGGTTCACTAGGGCAGGTTCACCAGGTGAAATCCAGAGAATACTGTATACACTGAATGCACAATGCAAAATGCACTGTACAAAATCAATAACTATATCAATAAAAACACTGGAAAGGATATACAGCATATTATTTCTATATACAATATCGTAAACCTAGATGGAAATCATAGGAACAGGGCTGCAGGTACATAAAACATTCTCAAATGAGTGGTTTGCTATAGTAGTTCATCTATAGTCAACGCCAAACAAAGTGGCATGCACGTCATCACGATAAAAATTCCCCGACCTAATGCCTAGGTTTCTATCACAAACAATTGCTCTATTGCAGTTTCATATTAATGTGATATATAAATTGTAAAATGGTCATTACTCTCTTATTATGGTTAATAGTCATATAAACATTGTTATTAAAATATCACATAAGTTGCTTTCTGATAAATTTAGACGCATTATGCGAAATAAAATGTTTTGCAAACGCTCCAATCACTTATCGACATGTAAACGCACTAAACCGATTTCACAGCGTTGACACATTGTCACCTTGAAACTTATTTAAACTGGGAACTGACATTTGTATTAATTTTGACACTGAATCAATTTGTGGCATTTCAAATCTTTATAAATCCTTTGGCCCCGCATACTGTAAATCAACAACTGTTTGTTTCAAAACAAAATTATTCATTTTACGAGTAGATAAAGGCAATTTTGGTATATAAAGATGCCCAAACAGTTAAATAGTCGGTGTAAGGAACTCGTGGCCTCGTTAATGCACTACTTTGAGCAAGAAAGGGACAACAAGGGGCCTTTGTTGCCTTTAAATGCTGTTCAAGAGGTAGGTTACTAATAATTATATGTAATGTATATTAATAATAGTGAAATTTTATTTCATTTTTTGTAGCGTGTTGCTGCTGCTTTAAAAATTAGTTTAAGGACAGTTAGTCGTATTTCCGAGGGTGTGAAAAGTGATGCAAATTTAGAATCGCCCAAGAAAAAGCGGAGTTATATTAAACGTGTAACCAACACAGCGACATTGGATACAAGTGCCATTCGAGAAGTGATCTATAATATGTATCACAAAAGTAAGATCTTATTATATTTCATATTGCCGTTCTCGAATTACAATAATACACTCGTAGTAGCACTTTTTTCTGCGCCCAGCATGCACGATTTTAAAGTAAATCCGGACCTGTCTCGCCCCGACTTCGCTCCAGTCCATCCATCCGCCGGCGCTGCTAGCTCATTGCAATTTTTTCGTGCGCCCGGTGTGTTACTGTGTTTACGTTTCGGTGTTTACAGCGTGCAGCGTTTAAAATGAATTCCAAACGAGACTCTAAAAAACGAAAACTTCAAGCATTGTTGGAGGACTTATTAGATAGTGCAAGTAAGTATATTAATATTCCTTATTGTTCGTTTTATTACAGATTTACTGATCGCAAAACCCCACAGGGTTTAGGCGAATACACGAAATACACGTTTCCCACAGAAACGGTGATATTTTATAAACATAAACCATAGGCAATGAGGTAGTCCTACTGGCCTATTGAGCCTTTAGTATTTATAAACGATGTTTCCACAGAAATGCGTTTATTAATATTCCCACAGGAATATACAGGGTGACTTCGAAGTTGAGTCATTTATTTTAACAGTGTGTAGATCTGATCAAAAGAAATGTTTTTTTCCTTTACCATTTTTCTGGTAAAATTAAAGTAACAAAGTTATAGCCCTTTGGAAGTTTGAGTACTGCCCTGTCTCAATAATAATATGTTCGTGTTTGGCGACAACGGATATAATCCGCCTGACCGGTTCATCGCATCGGAAACAAAAAAGCGAAAGAATTTGAAACGTTTATCACGATGTTTTTCGTCAGTCGATAACGCGTTAGTGAATAAATAGTAAGTGTTTGTTGCGTGGCTCAAACGAAATCAAAAATGGCACATGTTTACGAAAATGCTGAACTTGTGGACATGATTCTTATTTACGGGGGGGCAGTCTTTACAAAATGCTCCCGGATGCATCACGGATTTATGCGAATCGGTTTCCCAATCGAGTGCAACCAACTCCTCGTGCCTTTGTTAATGTAGTACAAAGTGCTCGTGAATCAGGTGACTTAAGACCTCACAGGTCAGGGCATGCTGCTCCAATACCGCACGATCAAATACAGGTCCGCATTGAAATACTTGTCGGGACGATACTTTATTAAACAAGGTAACATTTTTTTTTATTTATTTTTTTATTTTTACACACATATTTTGGTTTATCTTCCTTCTACAATCATTATCTGAAAATTAATGACTCAACTTCAAAGTATAGGTATATTAATTCAGTTATTTCGACTGATATGTATTTGTTATTCTTACAAGAATAGCTCGATAAGAATGTCTTTTTTACCTGTTTTGACCTCGACGCGTACCCGAGCGTTATCTCTTTACGCTGACCTGTTTGTATTATTTTATTTTACCATCTATACGATCTATTTAGCGGGGATTTACTGAGCAACTTTAGGTTGTTCTATTTTAGGTGAATCGGATGCTTCACAACATCCTGAATCTATACAGAATGAGGAGACCCCAGGGTTAGATGAAGAAGACAAGGAAATGAACATTCCCATCGCCCATCTAGGAACAGGTGAAAAACCTGTTAATCCTTTAATTGCCCCCCTTGAAGGAAAAGGATCAAACTTAAACAATGGACCAGCAGTTCATGAAGATATTCAACAGTTGCTAACGCTGTTTATAGCTAAAGGTTTAGATAATGATACACGCAAAGAGGCCATTGATTCGTTTCCGTTGCTGAAAGGCTGTACGGCATTAAATCCGCCCGAACTAAATGCTGAAATAAAAATCTGTTTGAATTCCGCTGTTCTTAGACAAGACGCATTTTTGGTAAAAATTCAAAACCAATTAGCCGCCATAATCAGTGCTTTGGCGATGCAGTTTAATGAACTGTATAAAGATTCCAAGTCCAACCCCAGTCAGCCAACCGAGGAAGTTTTAAAAAAAGCTGGTGATCCTCTAAAATTAGTAGCGGACACATTCCATTCCATCTCTTGTCATCGGAGATACCTAATCGTTCCATCTTTGGACTCATCCATAAAAGACATCTTAGAGGCGTGTCCAGTTGATTCTCTATTGTTTGGAGTGGAATTCCCAGAAAAATGGAAGATGTCTAAAGAGGCGAAGAGATTGGGAGCTTCTCTTAAAAAGAAACCAAACAAGATCTTAAGAACAGGACCAAGTTTTTCTACTCAATCCATGGCTGTTGCTGGGCCGTCATCTTCAACTCCACGTTCCCGTACTTATCAGGCTAGAAATAAGAGTCCTTTTTTACCCTCGAGCCGCCCACCAGCCAGATCTCGATACAAGAAGGAACACGAAGAAGTGCGGAGGTATCCACCACAAAAACGACGTTAAATCAGGTACCCATTATTTATAACAAATATGCTGGCCGCTTAGTTAACTACATAGACCAGTGGTCATTAATCACTAATAACTGTAAGAGCATTTTAACATGGCTCTCTGGATACAGACTACCCTTTATTAACAACCCAGTACAGACACAGGAACCTACTGTAAATTTCAAACAAATCAATTTAAACGATATGGAGGAGAGTATTAATAACCTCATTCAAATTGGAGCAGTTTCTGAAACTCCTCCCCAGTTGAATCAGTTTTTGTCTTCTTTCTTCTTAACAAAGAAACCAGACGGTACCTCTCGATTTATACTCAACTTAAAAAACCTAAATTGTTTTCTGGATCCACCTCATTTTAAAATGGAGGACTACCGAACTGTGTTACAGTTAATATTTAAAGATTGTTTTTTTACAACTTTGGATTTAAAAGATGCTTATTTTTTAATTCCAATTCACAATGATCACAAAAAATATTTGATGTTTAAGTGGGATAATAAATATTATATGTTTAATTGTTTACCTTTTGGCCTCTCTACAGCGCCCTTTCTATTCACAAAGATTATGAGAGTAGTAATAAAATTTCTTCGATCAAGAGATATTACTTGTGTTTCATATTTGGACGATCTTATCATTATTAGTAGATCAGAGGGAGAGGGCATCAAAGATGTAGACTTTACTTCACAGCTGTTGGAATCTCTGGGTTTCATCATAAACATCAAAAAGAGTTCTTTTATTCCTTCTCAACAATGTCAATATTTAGGGTTTATCTTTGACTCCCAGCGTTTATTACTATTATTGCCAGATGAAAAAAGGTTATCTCTCTTACCATTTATTACCCAGGTCATTAAAAAAGATAGAGTGACAATACATGTTTTTGCAAAATTATTAGGTAAATTAGTAGCTGATTGTCCTGCTATTCAGTATGGCTGGGTTCATTTAAAAACCTTGGAACGTGAAAAATTTATAGCGTTACGGAAAAACAATCAAAACTATAATTGCTCTATGAATATCTCTGTTGCAGTTACAAAAGACTTACAATGGTGGATAAAAGCTATTTCTAGTAATAAGGGTGTCCCTATACTTTCAAGTCACAAGTTCACACTAGAAATATTTTCAGACGCATCACGCTCTGGTTGGGGAGCATTCTGTAATGGAAAAGCTACTAACGGGTTCTGGGATCCAATACAACAAACCAAACATATAAATTTTTTGGAACTCGTTGCGGCTTTTCATGCTGTGAAATGCTTTGCCAATAAATTATCTAATTGCTCACTACTCATTCGAATTGATAACACGACAGCTATTGCGTGCATCAATCGGATGGGAAGTGTAAGGTTTGGACCCCTCAACACCATATCCAAAAAATTGTGGACTTGGTGCGAAAGTCGCCAAATTTTTCTGGTCGCCTCATATATTAATACGGCAGATAACATATTCGCAGATAGGGAGTCAAGAACAACAAAAATATACGTAGATACAGAATATGAACTATCTTCATATTGTTATGAAAAGATTTGTTCTCATCTTGGAACTCCGAGCATTGACTTGTTTGCAACCTATATCAACTTTAAATGTTTACGTTATATTTCTTGGAAACCAGATCCTGAGTCCTTACGGGTAGATGCATTTACGGTATTTTGGGGAGACGAATTTTTTTATGCTTTCCCACCATTTTGTTTGATATCTAAATGTCTACGTAAAATTATCAATGATAAAGCAAAAGGCATTATTGTGGTACCAAGTTGGAAAACTCAACCTTGGTACACCATATATAAAAGATTATTGATAACGAAACCTTTGTTTTTCAAACCAAGTAAAGATTTATTACTTTCGCCTTTCAGAGAGCCACACCCCCTATGGAAAAGTCTTATCCTGGAGGCAGGAATTTTGTCCGGAACTCTTTCCTCCATAGAGGCTTTCCAGCAGTAGGTCTGGATACAGTTATGGAATCTTTAGCTCCAAGCACTCTTCACCAATATAATTCTTATTATCAAAAATGGTGGTCTTTCTGTATTAAGTCAAAAAAAACCCTTATTCGTATTCCTTGAACTTATTAATCTCATTTTTAACTGAAGAATATAAAAAAGGTGCCTCATATGCTACACTAAACTCACAATATGCGTCCCTCTTATTATTATTTAATATAGATGCCATAGATAAAGCTCATTTAAAGAGATTTCTCAAAGGTGTTTCCAAGAAAAATCCGCCAAAACCCAAATATCAAACCACATGGGATCCTACCTGTGTTTTAGGTTTTTTATCATCTTGGTACCCATTAGAGGAATTACCAATTTCTCAATTAACGCAAAAAATGGTTACTTTACTAGCATTAGTTACAGGCCACAGGATACAAACTTTGTCAAAAATTAAAATTTCGAATATAATATATTTTGAAGATACATTAGAAATAAGGATACCAGATTCTATAAAGACCTCATCGTGTAAAAATTTCCAACCTGCTTTGGTTATACCATATTTTAGAGAGGAACCAAAGTTGTGTTTAGCTTCTGTTATTGATGTTTATATTAAAAAGACTAAAGATACCAGACCTAACGATACAGATTACTTAGTTTTAACTTATAAAAAGCCAATATATCCGGCGAGTTCACAGCGTATCAGTAACTGGATAAAGCTTACTTTGAAAAGCAGTGGGATTGATATGTCTCAATTCTCCGCTTATAGCACGCGTCATGCGGCTACTTCGGCAGCATATCGAGCTGGCGTGTCAATTGAACAAATCAGAAAGACAGTTGGCTGGACAAAAAATAGTTCCATGTTCAATAGGTTCTATAATCGCCCGTTAGGTCTGGACTCTACAGAATTTGCAAAAGCAATCTTGACTTTAAAATAGGTTCAGATTTGCCTTGTGTTTTGTTCCTATAGATTTAGATTGGTTTGGTGTTTTGTTCCTATGGTTGCTTAGCAATAAACGATTTTTGCAGATCTAGATCGTTTAACTTTAAACATCTACGAGTGTATTATTGTAATTCGAGAACGGCAATATGAAATATAATTACTAGATCAATTGACTTACCTTAAGGAAAATTGACCGATATTATATGAATATTGCCGTTCGAAGAATTACAATCCCTCCCATATCCCTACCCCCTTCACGATCTAGATCTTCCTGGGACTTCACCAAAATTGCAATGAGCTAGCAGCGCCGGCGGATGGATGGACTGGAGCGAAGTCGGGGCGAGACAGGTCCGGATTTACTTTAAAATCGTGCATGCTGGGCGCAGAAAAAAGTGCTACTACGAGTGTATTATTGTAATTCTTTGAACGGCAATATTCATATAATATCGATCAATTTTCCTTAAGGTAAGTCAATTGATCTAGTAATTATAATAACTTATCAGAAATTTGCATTAATTTGTTAACTAAATTATAATATCATATTACACATGGTTTCAGAAGAACAAGTTACGATACAAACTTTATGGTCTCGATTAAGAGATAGGGCATTATTTGATGGTAGTGCCACGTCTTTAAGGCGGTTGCTTAGAGATCTTGGATTTAAGTGGCTTAAGGACAATCCGCGACGAGGGCTCATGGAACTACCAAGTATAGCTTTGAAAAGGGTGGAATTTCTAAGGCAATACAATCAAGCCAAAGTTGAGGCCTTATACCAGTTTGTCTTCCTCGATGAAACTTGGATATTTCAAAATGGGACCATAGGTCGCTCTTGGCAAAATGGAAACCAAAAAAGCGTGAAAGCTATTAAAACAGATGGTAAAAGGTATGTACTTTTACACAATTTGCACTATAAAATTTAAAACTAATATATTTTAGATACATTATATTACATGCTGGAAATGAAAATGGGTTTATTGAGGGTAGTGAAGCGATATTTTCTTCGAAAACAAAATTGAGCGATTACCATGGAGAGATGAACCAGGACAATTTTTTGAAATGGTTTCAACATCAGTTATTAGAAAAATTGGAGAGTCCATCTATGATTATACTGGATAACGCCCCTTATCACAGCATGATATTGAACAAAGTGCCCAACAATGCATGGACAAAAAAAAATATCCAAGACTGGTTGACAAATCAAAACATACCATTTTTAAACACAATGTTTAAAACAGAGCTATTGAGTATTGTTGCTCGGTACATAATGCTTCTTAATTATATATATTTTGGTCGACAGTTTATATTTCTTTTGTTTATTCCTATTCTTAAAATAACTGCTTTTTTAGAAACAAACCACCTAAAATATACGTGATTGATGAATTGGCGGAACAACATGGGCACAAAGTTCTTCGTCTGCCTCCTTACCATTGTATATTTAACCCTATTGAGTTAATTTGGGGCATAGCAAAAGGTTACTATAACAGACATATTGGTAGAGATGGTAACAGTGAAAAAGACTGTTTGGATATGTGGAACGAGGCTCTACAAACGGTTACCCCAGACATGTGGAAAAATAGTGTTCGACATACTGAGCAAGAAATTTTTAAATGGTATGAAAGAGAACGAATTTTTGATCGACCAGACATCGAACCTTTAATAATCAACTTTGAGAGTGATGAAGATTCAGATTCAGACAGCGCTGAAGAAAGAAACTCCGACTAACTTTATTGTACAGAAAAAGCTTACACCAGTAGCTTACCTAATTTTAGAATGCATTTTTTTGTATGAATTCTGTAAAATAAATACCATGCATAAAATTTGGAGGACCCCATTTGGATTTTTATTCAGTACCTTTAAGCTATCAATTAAATTATGGTAGTTTCATAGTGTCATCTGATCAATAATTGTCATACTTAATGATTATGCAAGTACAGATCTATAATTTTATTATACTATTATTTTTGTTCTCATTTGAGGTTAATATTGCTTATAAACCTAGATATGTAAATAATAAATTTTATTATTTTACAAAAAGTTTGGCAACAATGTAAATTTTTCAACACACCCACCTTGATGACGTGCACGCCACTTTGTTTGGCGTTGACTATATATCAGCAGATCCGTTAGATCAGTTGTCCCTGTTTTGGCTTGCGATAACGGACACAGGTAATAGTACAAACCTTTCTTTTCTGGGAAACGTTTCTCTTTACAAAGAAAAATAACTTAAGACTTTCAAAAAATAAGTACAATTTCTGGCTGCACTAGGAGTAATAAATTTTGAACTAGTGTACACAAATGGAAGAGAAACAGAGGAACAAAAAAACTCTATTAGTAGGCGTAATATCTATGGAGCAAGTGATAGTCTGTTAAAGGAAATGTGACAAAGAAGTCTTAGAAGAGGGATATAAAAATCATGTCCATCTGCCTACAGAGAAGTTCGATGTTCCTGTCTAAGATGAACGATAACGCCCCCAACCTCCAACAGGCCATTTTTCCACGATTTTGAAAATTATATTTGACGACTAGCCATTCGTCACATGCCAGGTACTGGCAGCGACATCGTTCACACATGTTCCGACACGAATTGCATGGTTTTCTCCCTCCACGCACACAACGAAATCCGTATACTGGCATACAAAAATCAAAGGCTTGCGATCTACTGGCACGCTATCTTCAAACATGCTTTCTCACTGGCAGCGAGAGTTGCACATGCAAGTAACACGCACCTTAATAATAATAATAATAATAATAATAATAATAATAATAATAATAATAAAATAATAATAATAATAAAAAGCCTTTATTTTCACCTGGCGGACAATCATCAAATGCTGTTCTTCCGTGCCAACCAGCGACTGGCATGCTTCTATGCGTGTAGCTGGCATTGTGTATTCTCGCCTTTCCTCCAGGAAACTTCCCTAAGGCTGTACATCACCACCAATAAACAGACCCGCCTGCGCGCTCAACTAACTCGCATGTTATACACACGTCTAACACAGACTAACTATTGCAGAGAAATAGTGCCTTTGGAGTAATTGTATGGATCTGTTTTACTGACTTGATCCGTTTAATTTCCCTATTGTACATGTTCGTAACTAATTATTTTCTCAGAGGGTTTAACTTGTGCTGAACTTAATCCTTTATGAACTGATGAGGGCGTTGCGTAGGAAGTGCGGAGTCAACCTACTTGATGCCATTTTTGTTTCTTACCAGATGCGAAGATACTACCTGGACTACTTTATATTTAAATTAATTAATAGGGAGTTCTTGAACGTCCAATAAAGTCAGGGACTAATAATTCCTAGCCGTATTTAACACTTGGAATTAATGAAGTTAGTGCCTGCCACTATGAGAGGATGCTTAAAATCGTGGCACAGCCAAGACTTCTTCCTTTTGGTGCGAATAACCTTACTTTTTATAGTAGTTTTCGCAGATAAAAGAAATTATATACGGAAAGTAGTTTCCTTTTCAATATTTCTTGCAATTATTTTTTTACTAATATTTCCTGGGAGTTGCAAAATACGAAAAAATACAAAACCAATAGCAAAGCTTTATAATTAATAAGATTTTCAAATAAATCAGTCTTGGTACATACACTTTTAAATAAGATAAAAGTTTATTTCATCCCAATATTCCTACGGTAGAAATTGTGCACGGAAATGCATCCAGTAACTCTAATTCTAAAACAATTTTAAGATCAGTCTCTAGTTGTCATTTTAGTGCAAGGTCGTCAGTACTAGTGGATGACAGTACATATTTCGATAACTTCCTAATATGATTTTGCTTGGCAACTAGTAATGCGCTCTGTGCTACTTACTGATGTGCTGAAAAATCGAGTGGTTACAAGGTTATTGGCACACGTACCAGAACCTGATCAGGGTTGCCATATTGAGTACTTTTCTCCAAATTTGGGAGATTTTTAATACCCTTGTAGAATCGTTAAGTATTTTTAGAGTGCCTTATTCCATTTTTAACCACGCGATACTGTCCATCACTGAATAACAATTTCATCTTTCTGTAGCTTTTCCTTTCCTCAAATTGGCACCTATCCCCACAAAACACCTATATTGACTCTACAGATTTTAGTTAATTGTTAGTTAGTAGACCTGTATGAACAGGTATAGAACATAACAAAGTAGAATAGGAAGCTGTGAACCCTACGGTTAATCTATCGATCCTTGTTTCTCACACACCTTTCGGTAGAAAGAGTTAGATGACTACTGGCCTTCTCTTCGCGTTGCACCGGTTTGTTCGATTTGTAGATTCACCGGTCACGGGTCTGCGATTCCCAAATTCCGAATGCGTTTATCTTTCGTGCACAACCACAACGTGGAAACAATTAGTTAAAGGCGGAGCTGACAGGGTTATTCAGGGTATTAAGGTTAGAAAAAAAATTAATTTCTAACTGATAATTCTCTTTTAATGCTAAACTAAAGCGTCAGTTACATTACTGACTTTTTATCCTTTATTAATGAATCTAATAAATGCGTTGTATTCCTTTTCGCTAGCTCATCACTTTTGGTTTATATTAACGATTGTATTATCTAATTTCTCATTTAATCTTAGTCACAGCGAAACATACAGTATGATTCCGGTACGGTCCGTGTACATTATTGTTGGAACTAATTAAAGTTTTTTAAAAACGGAGTTTGAAGTTTTGTCCACATAATTCGTTGTGAATTTCCCGCGTAGGGCCCTAAAAGCTAATCATCTAGAGGATCACTTACAGGTTTTACGAATAGCTTCTGTTTTTTACGCTTTAAATTATACTTTTAGCAGGTGAAACGCACTCCCCCCGATCTTCGAACCAAGCCAACACCCACCTCGATTAATGAAGTATGATTTATTTAAAAAGTTAAATTCTGGAAGGTTTTTGTGCTTGTTCTGGTGGAATTTTGACTGACCCATCTGGCAACGCTGAACCTAACAATCATTATCTTCTGTGAAATCGTGTACTTAGACCTAGTCATGCACGCTATGTGTGGTGCAATATTCTTGTAGGTATAGAAATATGAATGTCCCAAGGCTAAGGATCCAAAAACTAGTGCATTGCTATAATGGTA